CTGGCCTCCAGCAAAATGCCACCGTGTTCACTCTCCTCAAGAACGGGAACCTGTTCTCCATCAAGGTCACATGTGGTTCCCGTCCAAGAAAGGCTCGCTTTCGCTATTGCTGTGTCAGCTTCCTGGTGGGCAGTGCGTGCTGGCCATGCCAAGAAGCTCCATGTGCCGCGACATCCCATTCCCAAAGCGCAGGCAGTGGGGCTCAGGCCCCGGAGGCGCAGGTGATCCTGGAACAGTGCAAGCAACTGGAAGTTCCAGCTATAAGCAGTGGGCGTGTCCACTTACACTAGGCGTCGACTGCTCAACGCATGATTGGCCGAGTGCTGGTCTGCGACTGCCCTTTGGAGGTGCCATGTGCCCCGCCCGAGAGTGGCGGGAGTGACCCGTGCAGCGCCAGAGATCTTCGCAGGATTCCGCTTTTCCATGATTGAGAGCAAGCCTTCGCCACGTATTCGCCGTGGCTGACAGAGCAAGACCTGGCTTGGGGCGGGGAACTTGTGCCCCAGCTCCCCAAGTCAGTCAGTCAGCCAGTGCGGCAGTGGTAACGCGCGGAAGTCCTGAGGGCTTGTGAGCCAACCCCTTTTGAAGAAGTTGCAGAGTTTGCCGGGCGACGGCGAAGCATGATTTTGGCTTCTTGCCTTGGTTGATACCGATTTGCCAGCGATTTGCTTGTCGGGATGAAGGCGGTGGGGACCGTGCCAGTTAATGGAGTATTCTTCAACCTGCAGAGGAAATCCCCTTGGCGGATCTGTTCAAGGACGTGGAGCCACAGTCAGCAGATCCGGAGCCAGTTGTGCCCCGGCAAGCACGACACGTTCAGTTCATGCTACAACAGTCGAGAAAGGACGCCTGTACTCTGCCCTCAGCGCAGATTGACAAAGGGCCAGCCTTTTCGCCTGATCCGCCAGTGTGTCATCACCCAGAGCTCGGGTAAGCAGCGCGTTATTGACAATGCAGACGTTGGCGGGCAGTCCGACCTTAGCTCAGACCCGAACAAGCTCGTGCTGTGTTTTGTCCTTGGGCCCGCGCAGCGCATTGCGCTGGAAACGCGCAGCGCGGCCCAAGAGTGACTCCTGGGAGGAGGGGGAGGACCGGCCGAAAGCGTACCGGCGCTGCCTCATGGCAAGGGAGGAGTCGCTGGCGTGTGTGGTCGCCTTGTAGCGTGAAGATTGCTGTGCGCCGGCCTCCTGTTTGGTCTTCCGCTTGCTGTTACTTCGTTTGATAGGTGCAGCAGGTTTGTGGAGGCAGCTGGCAGGAGCGGCAGGAGACTGCTGTGGACGTTAGTTTCTGCGTACCTCGACAACTCACACATCTCAGATTGGATGTCGTCTTATGGGTCCGGTCAGCTCGCGGACAAGGTGTTGAGTGATTTGTTGGGCGCCCCGTTCTGGAGAAGCCGCAGCCCATGTCCGTTACGGGAGCGTTCCTAGGACTTGATTACGAACTTGCTGCAGCCCTCCAAGACGGCGCCATAGCCTTTTTCGTGAGGGAGCGGCTTGTTGATGGCGTGCTCAATGTCTTGGAGCCCGGCGTGTTCGGATGGGTAGGCGCCGGTGGCTTGCAAGCCATCAAGGATCGCCAGATGCAGCGCGGCCAGCGCCTGATCTCGGAGCTGGAAGCCAGCTTGCGTGTCATACAGGCAGTCGTGGCCACCAAGCCCAAGCGGAAGCTCGAAGTGTGGTGGAATGCGTGCGACCGAGTTCTGGCGGCGAGTGACGCCGCAGAAGACGAGCAGTGCCAAGGCTCCGGAGGCTTTCTTCTTGATTTTCATGAATGCAGTGCAAGTGACACACAGTAGCCGCAGTTGATGTGCACGTCTACCAACATATCCAGGAGGGCGGGCGCTGTGTTGCGCAACTGCAATTGGCAATGATCCTGTATGGTCTCATTGCGAGACCAGCAGAGTTCCGCAAAGAGACCGCCCTCATGTCTCTGATTCGTGGTAGGTCCTCTTCCCTGGACCTCGAGAAGTTGGCGCAGTGGCAGAGCATTCACCTATGCCTCTTCCCCTTTGAACTGCACCCAAAACTGGGAATGGATTCCATCGAAATCCCATTGGGCAGACCCTTGGCCCTGGGCCCACGGCTTCAAGGTCTTTCCAGCGGCGTTTCCACGCGTCCTCCAATCTCTCCCTGTTCCAGCATGCCACATACATCCTGTGGGCCAGGATGTGGCTGTCTGGGTGACAGTACGCATTATCCTAGCGGCAGCTTAACCGTGCGACTGCTGCCATCCTGGAGTGACAAAGGGAGAACCAGTGCGCGCGTGTTGAGTTTGGCAGGCTTCCGTGCGTGCAAATCATTCCTAAAGGTTTATGCTGCTGCAATTTTGGGTCTAAGCTGGGCTGTGAGAGCCAAACTGGCAGCAGCTTTGTTTGACCCACCCATCCCACCCTGTACGTAAGCCGGACTCCGGTGGAGTTACCCGGTTATGCAAGGCTTGTGCAGAGTCTGCGACGTCTCCAAGCATATCCCATGCCGGAGTGTCCGGTGGAGAGATTTCCGTATGGGTGGTTCCCTTATGAGTGCCAGAACGTGGCTGCCTGGTTGACAGGTACTAGCGGCAGCCTAGGTTGAACCGTGCGACTGCTGCCACCCTGGAGCGAAAAAAGGAGAACAGTGCGTATGCATCGAGTGGTGTAGCACACTGAACCTTCGAATGTTGAATCAATCTGGGCAGTGTGTTTTGGCAAAAACAGCTCAGTATGAAACAGTATGGTTGTTCACAGAATTAAACCAATAAGACATGCAAAAAGTTTCACTTGGACAAATCAGAAAGAAAAATCAATATGTACAATCAACAGCAACCCTTTCACCTTTCCGTCCCGTTTCATCAGTGTTAATCATGTTCATCATACTTCATCATGATTATTATCACTTCGTCGCTTTTCATCATATTTCATCATGTTTCACGATGTTTGATCATGCTCCCGTCATATTTCATCATGTTCGATCATTCTTCCTCATTTTCATCCTGTTAGGAAAATTCTTACTCCTTTTTACTCAGTTTCAGCATCTCGCAGCATTCTGTTCTCAGTTTCATCATATTTTAAGCTTCAAACAGCTTTCCATTGTTTTCATGATTTTCAACACCTTTCGCAAGCTTTTGTCACATTTTATCATTTTCTTCACATTCCGTTTCATGTTTCATTATTTCCTCATTTTCACCATGTTTCACCATTTTAGGCCTATTCATCATTTCCTCATTTTTCATCGATGGACATCATGCTTCATATCATCATTGACATGATTTTTGATAATGTTTCATCAGCTTTCATCACACTCCATCATACCCGAATTTTTCAATCAATTCTTTCTCATAACAAATTTCATAAATTCCGGCATACTTCACAATTTCCCAACATGTGGCATTTTTTTGTATTGCTCAGCATTTCTCATCATCTCCCATCACGTCCATGATTGTCACGATTTTCTGTCTCTTTTCAGCATTTTCCATCAATTTTCACCATCGTCATCATGTCTTTGTCATATAACTTAACCGCTAACGCGAGACCGCCTCGGCAAAGGTTGTCGAGGGGTGAGAGCACAGAGCTGGGCAGCGGGCACCGTCCCGACTTTGCACGGTCCACAGGCAAGCTCTGATCTGCAAAGCAGCTCTTGCTGAGCCCCTCTCGCCCCAAACCCGCATTTCGCTTCGTGTCTTTGCCTGGAGCTTACATTTCAGCCCACCGCCCGCCGAACCCAGGCAACCGCCCGGACCCCCCCTTAGCCACCCTGGAAACCCGAAACAAAAGAGCCGATCGCTTGGAATCGGCCCGCTGGGCGGGTAGGGGGTGGGTTAACTTAGCTCTAAACGCCCCAGGCCTCCGGCCTCGGCGAATTGTTGATCATTGTTTAATCTTTCATGATCCGCCGAGTCTTGCCATCTCTAGTATGAACCGACCCAAATACAACACTCAATCTTTTGATCCTTGATTTTGGTTGTTTTTGATCCGGAGTTTCATTCTTCTTCCTCACTGAAGGTTTTTGATCCCTCACCCGTGGGACATGGTGCGCAACTGTCACGCATTTCGTGCATGTTCCATGTCCAATCACAGCGTAAAAAAAGTCACATTGCAACGCATCGGAGGCAACCATCATGCATTTCCTCTCTGGTACATGTCCAAACATAGCCTAAATATGCATTCATAAAACAAAAAGTCCCAAGGCTTCGGCCTCCAAAAGCAGGCAAGAAAGGTGTATGAAGCGGACAGCCGTATAAGCACAGGTCGTTGCCCGGGCAACTGTACTGGAATGTGAAACGTCAGACGGCCAAGTTTACCGGAAGGGGACCTGAGTAAGGCTAGCAGGTGAGCAATCAGAACAATAAGCAGGCAATTGAAGTGTCAGTTGGGCAGCACCTCCTTTCCCGTACTTGGCAAGAGGTAGACTCCGTCATTTCCTAGAACAAATTCTGTCAAGGCTGAATTGCTATCCAGAAGAAATCAACATCATCATCATCATCATCATCATCATCATGGTGAGTCGCCCATCCCGCAACCTTGTCACTGGAAGTCTTTATTCTATGCCACGTTGCCTGGGTTGTTTACCAAAATAGCGGCGCGCTCTAGTACACGAAGCAGACGCCTTGCTATAGGATGAAAGGCATTTCTGGCTCGGAAGGCTTGCAAGGCTCCAGTTTTGCCCATGTGCCAATTTCGCTACTCACAGGATATATGCTTTGCATAGTTATGAGACGGACGCACAGCTGCTAAACAGCAAGATCCAGGATTTGATGTTGGCTTCTGAAAGAAAGCAGGTTTCAGGATGGAGGTGTGAAGGGTTTCAAGATTTGAAGCTGCAAAGCGTGTCGAGTCTGGTGCAAGTACATAGTGAATGCGGGTCTAGGCGTTAGGTATTCAGGGAGAGGTTGAGACTGATTAAGATTGTAAGTGTTTCACGTCAAAAGCGACGGCCAATGGCCCAAGACATCAACTAACTCATGTAAGTGGCAGAGACCGAGGATTTGCCACAGAAGCACAAGTCCCAAACATTCTGCAGGTCAGCATTTGTCGCCAGCCGCACTGGAGTTTCCTGCCGTGACTGTAAAGTCTATGCAGTCGGCGGGCAGGAGTTGGCACCAGATTGGGCCCAAGACGCAGAAAAGATGCCGGTATCGGTCCCGAAAGTTCATGAAGAGCCAGCACGCATTCAAACAGTGCTTGATAAGATCATATCGGAAATGGCAGTGGATGCAGAAGAAGTTGTGGCAGAGAGGGTTGCAGCCGGGCACATGAATTTTGAGGACTTTGTTGCCACCTCTATGGTGATGATGGCCTCTCCCGCAACTGCTGGCCCACTCGCAAGGCTTCCAACTGGATATGAAAAGATCATCCTGGCGATGACAACAGAAGAGCGAAGAGATCCAAAACTGTTCAAAGCCCCAGAGTCCAACAAGCGGATTGCTAGAGTAGCTGAAGAGGCTGGAGTGGACCTTCAGCTTGCAAAGACGTTCTTGAGCGATTTTGGTTCCATTCAACAATTCTTTGCCAAAGTTCAGCAAGGGGCTGAGGGCGGCAAAGGAGCTTTGCGACAGTCCATGGACATGGCTGCAGAGTACCTTGCTGAGAAGCCTCGCCGCATTCGCCGAGTTCATGAAAATCGGAATAAGATGCTGAAAGAGGCTGGCAGAGAGCTCCGTGCGAAGAAGGCCAGACCTTTGGACCTTGAGTTCGTCAGCGTTCGTCTGCTGTTGTAAAACCGATGCGAGGCCAGAAGAAGCAAAGGCTTCAGCGTGTGATCCCTACGCTCTCAGAAGGCAGGTTGATCCAGATTGCGTGCAGGAGCCGTGCTTGTGCATCGAAAGCCCAGCATCATACACAGAAAGCTCTCGCTGGGGCATGGGGCAGATGAAACTGGTAGCTCTTGGAAGCTGAATACTTGCAGCCCGCCTGGCCTCGGCCTGTATCGTTCAAGCACGTGGGCTTGAGAGGAAATAAGCATTCTTCAAAAAGGGCGGTGTAACTGCAAACCTCCGAAACCTTTAGCCACCAACTGGCCACCCCTGCTGCTGTGGGCACATTGGGCGTTTGTAATTTCCAGTTGCATCCCTGCACACGATTGCGGTGACAGGCAGTTGGTGCACTGAGAAGCAAGACAGCTGCACTGTCAGCAATCAATATCTCGGCCACATCCGCCGAACTGCGACCAGAAATCGACAAGAAACATCACAGTGCCCTGCAACCTTCCAACAAGCTTAGCGGCAACTTCATGGATGGCATGTCTTGCAATCTGGCATGGGGGCGTGCTTCACGCAGAGACTTCGTCAAAAGTGAAGTGTTGACACAACCTCTTCACACGCCGAAAAGCCAATGGCATCAGCAGAGTCAGAGTGTTGGGGGTTCTCCCAGGTGCTGGGGAAGACAGGTTCTGTTGATGTAAGCACAAAGGTCACAAATGCAAGCGGAAACTGGTACGTGGCTGGAGATAGCTTGGCTGAGGCTGCGTGGGTGTAGAGTCTAGAGTATGGCTGCAGGCTCGGGAAATCCAACATTCGAAGCCACCAGGCGCTCTGCTGCTTGCATCAGTCTTGCATTTGTAGCTTGTGCAATCTTGAGTTCCGATGTTTCCTAGCAGTCGCGCCTGCAAGGCCTGGACAAGAATGAATGCACGCGATGCCTTCCAAACGGCCATCAAGAAACGTCTTCGAGGTCATGGACACACTCAAGTGTTGTGGCCTTGCGCTGGTTGGAGTCGGTCCTCATCAAGCTCTGGACGGCCTTTAGCCTCCTTGTTAGAGTTCAGGAAGACAATTCGCTTCTGACAAAGCAGGTGAGCTGTCAGACGTTTAAGCAAAAAGCGCTGAGAAAGAAGCACAGCACTGGCAAAGGCATGTTGGGAATGCGTGTACTTGTGTTTCATATATATGTTCAGGTCTTGGCTGGTGCCTGACGGACGCCGCCTTCGACGCCCTCCTAGAAGAGGCCTGGTGTTGCACATTCCGAAGCTCTTCTGTCCACGCCGACACTCCTCAGGCGGCGGGCGAGGATCGGACTTCACATGAGATCATTCTCCTCACAATGAGTTGCATCATTTCTTGAGATGAGGATGCAACTTCACATCGCAGGAAGTGGGTTGGAGCTCAGATGCCTCCAATGGAAGAGTTTCAAGCTTTCAAGAGTGCTGACCCAGGCGCTGCCCAAGCTGCTGGAAGTTGCTGACCTCGGTGAGGCCTTTTGCACATATCAAGCTTGATGTAGGGAAACTTGGGCGCTTTCTGATCCGTCCTGCGGGCTGTATAGGTCATCAATTTTGCTGTCCCACCTCAACTTGCATTTTGGTTGATGCCTATTGATGTGCTTCATGGGAAGGATCTTTGTGGACCGCATCCTGAGGTTTGAAGACCTAGACTCGACTTGTAAGGGTTTCCATACGTTTCGGTTTTGAGTCGGCGCATCTTCTCAGGCACTGAAGGCTGCCTTCAAGACTCTGGGGGCACAAAGTACTTGCTCCAAGGACTTCACTTTTAGGAGTGCACAGAGCTTTTGGTAGCATCACTGGCTTTGTTCGGAAGGATAGGTTCAAGCAAATAGCAACAGGCCAGGCGCCTATCACTCGATAGTGGAGCTACAGGCGATGATTGGAGAAGAGAGCTTGAGGCCATGACGGCGGCCTTACGGAAGTGGATGTGGACGACCTATTCGCGTGCCTTAGCGCTCAAAGTGTCGAAAGAATGTGCTGTTGTGTAAACTGCCAGAGGCTGTGCGGGGCACCTTCGCAGCGTCATGTTGCCACCAACCTGCTGGTGGACGGCTTGGTGGATTGTATCTGCCAGCCGAAGGTTACTTGGCAGAGCAGCGCTGAGAGCCGCACAGAGCAGGTGCGTCCATGGCCTTGCAGTTGGAAAGCTGAGGCGCATGTGCATAAAGCCGTGCTGGGACAGAGTCGCTTGTTCCTTCCCGGCTAATCCGGGGCTACCTCTCTGAATGCCCACATCCGACGAGGACAAGACAAGGTTCACAAAGGTGAAGCCTTGATAGCTTTGCTGGGAAGCGTTTCTCGCCAAGTCTCACCTTGGTAACTCAATGCGGTCCGAGTTGCACGGATCGTTCCAAGTCCCCGCATCCCGAAACAGTAACTAGACTCCAGCTGCGATCAATTTGTGTTTTATTTCCTGTTCTGACACATTGTGACATGTCTTTACCAGCGGCTCATGGGCCCGGGGCGCGCGCGCTGCGCGCCATGCACTTCGTGGGCCATGTAGTCGTGGCGGTGCTGCTGCCAGGCAGAGATTTGGTATCCAAGCTCCCTGTGCTCGCTGCAGTCACAACCTTCCCGAACGCCAGTTGCAGCCCGCAGTCTGCTTCTGCAAAACCATGGGTCTCTCAACGCCATAAGCTCAGCTTGTCACGAAAGCACAGTGTAGCAAAGCACAGTAAGCGCAAACGGGAGGCCCAGGCAGCGTCTGGCCATGGCAGTGACTTGGACCTTGCCAATTAGCCTTGGCTAGACTTGGAAGAGCCAAGTGCAAGCAGTACCTGCTACAAGGCCCCATGCTGACAATGGAGCAGTGCCAGCCTCGAGTTGGCTTCCAGGGCGGCAACTGGGGAAGTGCGAGTTGATGCGAGTTGCTAGGTGGCGGTCGCAACATCAGGCATCTCCGCACCTAGTGACAGCCGCATCGCAGAGATGGAAACTCAGAAAGAGTAATGCTCTCGAAAGGCCTCGTCCTTGAGCCAGGTTGCAAGGCGGAAGCAGTTGGGTTGGCATACTTGGCCGATGCAGTTTGCATTTGAACTTGAGGTCGTCACTTACGGAGTATCGCAGGAACTTGAAGATGAGCTTACACAGACACCGCACCTCGGTCGCAACTTTGCTGTAAGCTTAGGCATGTGGCGCATCCTTGCTGCTTGGTATGAGGCGTGGCGATGCACGTAGACAAGACAAAGCTGAGCGGACCCGTGTTGCCGACCGGATTGCTACACTCAATCTTAACCTGAAGCCATACAGCAGTCGTCCGGGACGCTTTTGCTTTGGCAGATGTTTGACTTGGGAAACATGGCGCAGCTGCCCCCTGACACATTAAGCAGACGGTTCGATCAACTCGACACTTCATGCTATGGATGACATTTACCAGTTGATGCGGCCCTAGAAGCAGTCTAAGGATCTGCGGTATTTGCATCAACCTTTCTTTGGTCGCATGCATGATGTGCGCCCGCGCATCCCTGCACTTTGCATTCTGCTCCGGCATGTTCAGTTTGACGTCGTTGTGTTCCCGCACACATGCTTGCCTGCTTGCCGCATTTGCAGCTCACTTGGCCGCTTCAATGATTGCTTAGGCACTCACTGTATCACGTGTATCTTAGGGCTGCGTAGTACTGAGCCTGCAGACAATTGTCCAGAAGCAGCTGCAGGGGACTGCTGGCAACACCTTGAAGCATCATCACCCTTTACCTTATTGACCCTCCAATGTTTGGCTTGCTCGCAGAGTTCAATGCTATGCGGAGCCATGCCTCCCATGTAGCATCACGGCAAGGCTTGAAGACTTTGTTGTGGACTTGCTGCAGGAAGTAAGGTGCACACGAGTGGTAGGACAACGATTGTTGTTGTGAAATGCAATTTGAAGGAGTCCTAAGTTCTGAAAGGTGCAACTCAAGCGCAGAAGAATTAAGTTTATCATAGGTTTACATCTACGTCCCTGTGTTGGCTTTAATATATGAGAGCAAAGCGGGAGTGAATTTCACGCACTGCTCATCCTGACCACAAGATCATAGGGTTGAGGACAAAGGGGGTAAACTACTTAGTATTAGTATGGTCCGCACTGCAAATGTCTAGCTTCACTCTTTGCTGTTCATTCATTGGCACAGCAAGGAGTGGTGAATCCAACACGGCAGAAGGTTTCACGTTTGATTTTGGTTGACTTTTCCATCAGTTTCGTCGCTGTACAGGTTATCTTGGATGTCCCAAACCCACTTCTCAAATTCATGGCTGGATGGAGAGGGCTCAGGAATTGGAATTTAAGATGCGTTCGTTTATATGTGTGTTTCTCTTTTGTGTTCAGTTGAATCGCAGGGCATGAAGGTGAAGCGGATCCTTGCAACTGTTGCCTTCCTGAAGATGCAGTCACGAACCAAGCACAGCAGTCAGGACGATCGCTAGCTGCTAGCCCTACTGACCAAGTCCTGGCGACGGTTTGCATTCCTGGTACGAAGAGAAAAAGCAGGGGGATTCCGACTGAACCTTGGCAGATTGGAATTTCGAGGGCAGCAGCAAATTATCGACAAGGCACGAACCACATGAAAAAAGGCACAAGGAAAATCACAGCAAGAAGCACAATTCCCCACAGGCTCATCGCCCAGCGCCTTGCTAGGCTCAGCGCTGGGGCCCTTGCTCGCATGTCTCTGCGCAGCAGCTTGCTTGCCGGAGCCTCTCATCGTGGTGTGGCCTGGCACATGCTGAGATGGAGATGCTTCGCCGCTGTGCTTGACCGAGGTGGGGTGTGGAGGCTGCGGGAGGCATCACACAGGATGAGCAGCTGCTTATCTCTGATGGCGTGTGGCTGGGCTGCATGGGCTTACGTGGGCTTCGTGTTTGACGCGAGCAGCACTTGTTTGCTTGAGGTGGCATCGAAGCCAGCGAAAGTCCATCACGCTCGTACTTCCGACTGACTTGCAGTATGGGCAGCAACACTTTGTGCCAACATGTCTGCCAGGAAACATCCTGCTACTATACGACAATGGAGGGCATGTGCATGGCTGAGAGGAAGAAGAAAGCACTTCGTGGAAGTGGAAGTTGTGTTTGTCGATGTCTGTTGAGGCCCTACGGCTGCCAGTACAACAGAGCGTATTATCCGTCGTACCAGAATGATTACCAGAGACGCGCAGAGTGCACACCTCACCGTGTCTCACAAGCTCGATGACCTCGCACTTGCAAGTGCTACTTAGAGTTAATCTTTTCCAGGAAGACCGCCTTGATGGAGTTCTACAACTCCTGCGGAGGCTTCTGCGCGCCGCAGAGAGAAGGCTAGCTTGCTCTTGCTCGCAGGTGACTTCTGGCGCACAAGAGACAACTGGGATGGAGTTGCAGCCTGAGTTGCGTGGGTTATGCTCTGCTTCGTGCCTTTGCAAAGCCCCTGCTGAGGATTTGGACCCTTGTTGGGATTACTGGTACGGGGTCACCTGCAACGAACACGGATATGCTGGTTTCCCGGATGGCTTTGATGAGGCAAGTGTTGTCATGGCACAGGATCAGATCAACATGATGAACGCAGAAAGGCAGCATGACAGAAAAGCTGCTGCTATTCCAGCCCCAAGCGTGACAGAACTGTGCTTCTGCAAAACCTCCACCTGGCTATGAGCTGTACTTGAGGCGCCACTATGGCAGCTCAACATGCTGGGTGAACCCACCCATGTTGGTGTGTGAAGTTGGAACTGACTCGATCCCTCATATCTTGGCCTGAGGGAAGTGGTGGATCGCAAGTCTTGGTGTCAGTAGCGGCGTATCAGCAAAGTGGGGAGCAACACATGGCGGTTCAGCTCATGAGCTCCCACCGTCTGCAGCCTGAACCGCCTTTTTCACGGGACAGGCAGTGCAACGGAAATCATGGCATGTGCTGCGCCCCAAACTTGCTTTTGTGCAGCCCACCCGTTTTGCCTTCAAAGGCCTCTGCAGATGCCCAGGATTTGGAACCTGGAAGTGAGTAGCTACCCGTCAACTAGACATGCATCGCAGCCTCACGTGTCGATGACCGTCGCCTTAGACACTGCAGATGTTTGGGATCGAAACGATATGTTCTTTTCTGAGATTAACTTCGCCGGCCGCTTTCTTGTATCCTGGTCCTCCAAGAGAACATCGCCAGCATCCATCAGCGTCCAAGATTTTGCTGCTTTTCAGACGAAAGTTCAAAGGAAAGTCCAAAGCTCAAAAGCAGTGCACAAGCACGTCAAAAGCGCCATAAGGCAACTGCAGCAGCTTCGGCAGGACGTCCTTAAACATTTGTCGAAGCAGTCGTTCGCCCTCCCTTCAAGGCATCCTTGGGAAACTGGAAGCGCATGGGGTCCGGAGATTGCTCAGAAAAGCTGTATTTTTTTGCCATGCACGTGAACTTAGGTCATCAAGCTGGAGCTGTCAGACAACCGGGTGAGAGGACCCTTACCATCTGCTTTAGGCCCTCCGGGCCTTAGCATGCTTCTTCTTTTGGATGACACATGGCACACTCGCGCCGGCCTTGGAAGGCTCTTTGACATCCCTTATCAAAATAGATTTGTCTTCAACGGAGCCAGAATACCATTTGCACCTCGCCTTTTGCAAGAAATGCTTAACGAGTGTGAATATTGTAGGAGGTGCTACTGCAGAGATCTGGAGAGATGAGGCATCCAAATGAAGAAATGAATCGAGTCGAAGGGCAGGGGGCCCTGTGCAATGAAGGGCATAGTGAAGGTTTCAAGCGAGGCTTGGATTTTGTCTCCTCTGGGCGGTTTTAGCTGGTAGACACAGGTCGATGCCTTCGATGGCCATGTGCTTTCAGCTGGAAGAGATAGAGGCGCACTCCCGGAAGGTTAGTAGAGGCTCCAAGTCACAGATTGCAAGGTCTCAGGCAATTTGATCTTGCGGCTGCCAGATGTGATGAACTTAGTGTTTCGAGTGCACACGATGCCTTGTCTTGACAATTGCTGCACATGCTGTCAAATGTGGCTTCGCTGTTCCGTGGTGCATGCGCTCCAGGACCTGTATCTAAATGCAGATACGCTTCGGTCGTTGAGTGCCAGCCGGAACAACTTGAGGCCAGCAGCAGAGTGGATGTCAAATCCTCTGAGCAACGTGCCGCTCAGGAACCTGCCAAACTACTTGCGTCGCTTCCAAGTGCTGCGGGCTTGTACTATCTCCATGGGCTTGTTTGCTTCATTTCGGTGGGAAAGCGCTGCAGTGACGCCCATGAGGCTGCATACCTTGGAGCTAGACAATAACATGATCGAGGAGTCACCCCTTCACTTGCAACAAGCTGTGGCTGCTCCGTTGCTCTCTCATCTTAGGATGAGTTTCCAGCAGACTTTGGACAACTGTCAAACATCCGGCTCGGCCCCAATCTGCCATTGTGATTGACGGTTTCTGCCATGGCCTGGCACAAGTGGCATGATTGCGTAGCTGTACAAAGGATTGTTCACCTACAATACAACCGGTTGAAAGGAAGACTGACAGAGGCCCATCCATACGATGTGAGAGGTTCTGAGCAGCTCATTGCATAACAGCTGGTTTCAGGGCATCGTCCCCATGACCAAGATTCAGGCCTCGCTTGAAGAGCTAGCAAAGCCAGCTCTCTAGGATATCGAGCAGACAGGGATTGTATTGAATGCAGAATATGCATAGCGCTGTGGAATGTGAACAGAGCCCAAACAACTGAACGTCAAAGCAACATTGAAGGTCTTTGATGTGTCGCACAACCCTGAGCTGGCCGGCGTGATCCCTGAGCAGGTCATTGTGGATTGGGCGGCACTTTGGATGCATGTGGTGTCAAATGGATTTGTGGCTCATATGCTGCTGTATGCCACACACTCGAAGAGCCTTAAAGCTCTTACTTGTAGATGGAAACCAGAGCCTACAGGTTTGACCCGGCTTGACGTTTGGAGAAACTGCAGCGGTCGCAGGTTCCAGCCCAAAACCGGGATCACAGAAAGTTGCCTGTGAGCAGACGCTGGGGCAACTCTAAACTGGAAACTGCTGGACTTCCGAAGTCATCTGTTTCCAGGCCAGCTTGTGTGACAACAAAACTGGAGCATTCTTGTCGTTAGAAGCTTGCGCTTGAGCCTTCAGGTTTTGTTCTGGAAGTGCGATGGTGCTTTTCGGGAAATGGACGGAGACATGAGCGGGTTGAGCTTACTTCCCAAAGAATTCACAAGCAAACAGGTGCTGTAGCAAACATTGTGCAGAAGCTTTCAGGCGCGCATCACCTAGCTTGAAATCCAGATGACTGTGGACCAAAAACAGTGGGCTTGTAAGAGGTTGCGGGGCGCATTGTTTTTGTAACAGGATTGTCCAGCTTGCAATACGCAGCTTTGTGCGACAAGCTCGTATTGGATGGCATATGTTTACGAGCACTCGCAACAAAGGTGTGTGACAACAGGCCGCGACAGAGAGGAATGTAACAGGGTGCGGTGGGGCGCTCCAAAACGGGCTATTCCCTGTTGTGCCATATACACAGCGGTACACCCCAGTTTCAGTGCTGCTGAGGAGATGAGCTACCTCTCTATCCTCAACACGTCCATTTCAGGATACATCTCCAGCCTTTGTGAGATCCCTCAGCGCTTGGAACGCCAGTTGATTCACCGAATGACCGAATGTATTCCTTGTCTGCGAGGTTTAGATGTGCCTTTCTGCTGGAAGTACATGTATGATACGCACAAGGACTTTGGGATTCTCACGGCGCAGGCTTCGGCACAACGCTTGGCGGTGATGTGCTTGCAGGACCTTACATGGGCTACGGTTGCTGACATCCCGGACATTGTTGGAATGCAGCTCGGTTGCGCAATCAATAATCAATTCCCTCATGGCTTGCCTGCAGAGCGACTTGGGTAAGTCATGGGATGTTTGTCCATATGTATGCTAGGATGCACTAACATTACCAATGATGGGCACGGCAAAGCTAGTCAGCGATGTACGGCCAACAGCACAGCATGCTGTGCCCGGCTGCCCAAGGACTGTGGACCTAGCTCAAACAGCCTTCTTTGATGAGACTTTCGCCAATAGGTAGAAGTGAAATGCTGGTGTTCAAAGCCTGGATCTGGCAGTAGTCCAGATCCTGGCAGCCTCCGCTTTGTACATAGAAGATGGCAGGACTGACATGGGCCGAATCTCGGGCCAGTCCAGGGCCGTGTCATATGGCATGCTTGACTGCTGAAATGGCAGACGAGAGCCTGACTGCAGCATTATCAGTGGAGGAGTTAAAGTCATGCTGGCGTTGCTGCAGATTTTGGCAATTCTATCTCTGAGATACGATGTGGCAAATGCGCAGGAAGTTGGGCGTCTTCATTTGAGACACTGGGAAAAACTGAAGGGCATCCAATTCAACTTGCGCAGATCATTTATCATCATTGCAATGCTGCTGGGAACAAAGAGCGTTCTTGCTCGCTTGGCATGGCACTTCTTGTCGTGCACTGACCTTGTGTCGCCTGCAGAGGATCAGATCTGTTAGACTTGCATGTGGTTATCTACTCATCCACTGAACTCATTGACAGCTGGAGATGTAGCAACCAAAACAATTCGTACTGAGCTGCACGGATGGCTGAAAGCTCCGATGAGGACCCAGAGCCTGCATGTCCTCCGCCGGAATGGGCGGCTGACATCCTGCAAGCAGCCCGGGCTCACGTGGGGCAAGACGTCTACCCGCCAAGTGATGATACTTTTTTGCTTCTAGAGGTCTTGAAGGCAGACGAAGCCAAGTTGCAAGCCTTAAGGCCAAAAGTCTGTTTGGAGTTGGGCTGCGGCTCTGGTGCTGTCAGTGTCGGTTTGTGGGACATTCTTTCTCGCGCGGCACGCTCATGTCCCTGCATGATGGCCGTTGATAAGAACCCCGCAGCAGTAAGATGCACAGCAGCCCTTTTCAAAAGGTTCAATCTTCCACGTGCAGAGGTCCTGCGAGCCTCCATGACACAGTGCTTCTTGATGGAGGCTGACATTATTGTATGCAACCCTCCATACGTCCCTACCGATGAGGAGGAGATGCAAGGCTGCGGAATTTCTGTGTCGTGGGCAGGAGGCAAGCAAGGCCGTGAGGTGATTGACATGATGCTGCCGGAAGTGGCCAAGATGTTGGCTCCCGGCGGCTTCTTCTATTTGGTCTGTATAGCCGAGAACGATCCCAGCGACATCCTTGCTCGGGGTAGGTCTCTAAACCTCACAGCTCAAGAGGCTCAAAGAGAGCAGCGGGGTATGGAGGAGCTCTCCATACTGCGATTTCAGCAAGGCAGCATGAAGCCAGCCGCACGAAAAGTGGAGTCATCTGAGTTAGAGGAAGTGAGATCATCTCCCTGCAGCGGAAAAAGTGTGAAACTGCTCAGGGCTGCGGCAGATTCGGAGGACCTGTCCTAGGCTTGGCAAATCTTGAACGTTAACATGAAACATAATGTTCTAACTTGAAATTCTTCTCCTTCGTTTGCTTTAGGGCTGCATTTTATGAGGATATTGTTGAGTGCCACGGCTCCTGTCGAAAAAATGGCCCCACGCCTAACTTAAGTCCAGAACTCTGGGGGACACGGCGAAATTGCAAACAGCTTTGCAAGCGCAGGAACTGCGCAGTCCAACAACTTTCGCGCAAGCAGAGGGCAGCACCTCGGCTGTTCGTCGGTGGCAAGGAAGCACTCGCCTGTGCCCGCAATTGCTCGTGTATGTTCAAAGTGTCGTTACATTTTCGTCTGCGCGGCGAAAGAGACAAGGAAGCCCCCTACATGGGGTTCTCACCACCAGTTCCAACCCAGCAGGTTCAAAGACACCGCAGGCCAAAGACTCGCAATGCGCTGACAGCCTTTAGGATGGAGGGCACAGACACACATCAATCTCAAGGGTCAGTCGCAGCTGGTCAATCTTTTGAGGAACCTTTTTTTTTTAAAGTTTGTGTTGCCCGTGCCTTTGCCTTCCTTCTCGTCTCGTGAGCCACCTTTGAGCCCCTGCGGCAACGTGAACCACCTAGCGAATTGAAGCTGGAAGCTGCAGCTCAGCAGAAAGCTCGATGGGCAGGCCGACGGCTCGCCTGGTGCATGTTTGCCTGTTTGATTCGCCCAGTTACTTGCCTTGTCAGAATGCATGTTAGCGTTGATGTGTGGAAGGAAGCAGAGCATAGGCCTGGGTATGCATGGAGCCTGCTCAGGATTCGCCGCATTTCATGCGTTTCGAGTTTTTGCATTCCAGTATGATGGACGTCCTTCTGTGCGTGCAGCCACTACTAAACCATCTGAAATAATCTCATTCGGAAAGCCACGTGCGAGCGCACTTGACATCCTGGCGCATGTATGTCTTTGTCAGCATCGCTTGAAAGCAGATAGAACATGTTCAGAGAAATGCGTAGATTCCAAAGCGCAACACGCATGAGGACGCGAACGTTTGAGGTTCCTCCATGTCAATGAAAAGAAATCGTGAAAGGGTGATGTGACCCCATTTGAGACAGAACTATCTCGACCGTTCTATGTTTTCTTCAATGTGCATAACTGCAGTCTAGTGACTCGTTATTCTGCGCCAAAGGAGCCAACAGCACATGCCTGGGCACCCTTCCATCTGTGGCACAAGTCTGAAGTGCAGTCCTCAAGTCCAACAATTGTTCTGACATGTTGTGACAACACCATCATGTAGCCGTTTCAGTTCACTGAGGCATCCGGGGGCCTACCCAAAGCTTGGATTTTAGCAGTCTTCTGTAACACTTGGGACACTTCAGCATTTTTGAAGCAGCAACTTGCAAAACCTTGTGCTGTCTAAGGGAGCAAATCCCAAACAGGAACAGGGTTGGACGCCAACAGAAAGCAATCTCGTGGAACCTCTGATGCGTCCGGCCTGAGGGACACTTCGCACAAATTGTTGCTGTTCCGGTGTTTGGTCAGCACGCTGTGCTCTCTGGGGCCCCGGGTCTTGCAGATGCCCCCCAGTTTCTGTGGGACAATACCCTTGAATTGAAGGGAAGGCGGCGGGTCCCAAACTGCCTGCGCCACCACGGGCGTGCTTGCCTCCCCAGCGCTGCCACTGGAGCGGGCCTTTGCGCGATCCTGCTGCGAGGGAGCACGCGTCGCCCGGAACTCCCGCGTGGCTGACAGGAACATTGATGTCCCTGTCGTTGACGAACGGCGCATCGAGGTTGTCGCCAATGGCCTCGCCCTGTGGCATGGGCCGCAGCCAGCCCTTGACGCCACCACAGTTTCGCCCGTGGCGCGGTCTGGCGAGCCCACATTCGTCAGCTGACACACAGCCTGGGCCGCGGAATGCTGCCGACATTGCAAAAAGTGCAACGCTTGCCCTGAGCTGGCGCGCTGCTGCCGAAGCGGCAGCGAGCTGCCATTGTGTCTGCACCTCCGGGTCGCGTGCATGGGCTGCGTTGGCCGCCATGTTTGCCCATCGTGCCTTTGCGAGTTCCCTAGTAGAGCTCCTTCGGGAGCTGCTCGACGCCTAATGGGGGCTCCACGTCCTGCAGGCGCCTGCAAAACGGCTGCCTGTGCCCTGGACCCACCTTCCCCTTAACCAGAACTACCGTTACTACTACTACCATTACCGTTACCATTACCATTACCACTACTACTACTACTACTACCACTACCACTACCACTACTACTACTACTACTACTACCACTACCACTACCACTACTACTACCACTACCACTACCACTACTACTACTACCACCACCACCAC